GACACGATGACACACACAGGGTTGGAGAGATGACAAGGGTGACATCGGGTGGGGTTCAGTGTGAGGCCCGGCCTGGGCTAGTGGTGGGGAGGCCTGGACAGGAGGATGTGGGGAGCAGGTGCAGGTGGCCCAAAGAAGCAGCTAGGGTCCCCCGTAGTTTGTCTTGAGTCCTTCATGACGCCAGGTGGGCCCCACGGACCCTTCACGACGTCACCAGGTGGGCCCCACGGACCCTTCACGATGCCAGTGTCACCAGGTGGGCCCCACAGACTGGGAGTGAGGCAGGACCTGTGCCCACCAACGTACAGACCATGGCCCCGACTTACCAGGCTGTCACGAGAACACTGGCCCCTGACCCTGAACACGTACTGGGGTCTGGAGTGGGGGGAAGTCGGTTCTTCCCTCCACTCAGCAGGGGCTCAATGAAGGGGTGGGTGTGTGCGTGTAGAAAGAAACAACCGTGAATGAGCTCTGAATGGGGAGGGACATCGACACCTTTCCTTTTGTGGGTCTTTGCCTCTCTCTCTTTACAACGGATGTGCATCTGCTTAGCATTAAACCAGTGAGATAAAACAGCAAGCCTAGAACAAAGAAAACAGTCCCGAGAAGCCTGGGAGCCCTGGGGTTGAGTGCCAGCTCAGCTCCGCGTATCCTGTGTGCCCTTGGGTCCGTTTCTTAACCTCTCTGGGCCTTATTTCCCCCGTCCTAGGACCGCTGGGAGGGTTGATGGAGCGAATGTACACGATGCCTCGGAACAGCATTGTTCCCACTCAGGCGCATGCCCACTCAGGGCTTGGCACTTTTTCCGTAAAGGGCCAGGTAGTAAGCACTTTTCAGCATTGCAGGCCGATCTGTGTCGCAAGGACTGGACTCTGCCATTGCAGCGGGAGAGCGGCCGGAGGCAGCACACAGATGCACCCGTGGGGCCGTGTGCCAATAAAACTTTGTTTATGTAACAGGTGCTCGGCCGGTCTGACCCTGCGCTCGGGGCTCGGCAAAAGCGGGCCGTGCCCGCGTTCACCGCTACCCCTCTGCCTCTGTGTCTGTCACGCCCCCAAACATTTCTTGAGCCCCTGATGCTGTGAGGTGTCAGAGTTGCAGAAGCCTTGTCCTCGGAGAGGGGGCGCTTTTTGTCTACTACGTAAATGACGCGAGCTTTGAGGTTTGCGTTTTGTTCAGGGACCGGAGGGAAGGGAGAGCGTACGGATGGAGAGGGGCAGGTGGCAAGCCATTCCTGTCCCTCGCCAGCCCTAAACGTCCCAGGGTGCCCGCCTCCCTCAGATCGAACAGAGACCCCGACATCCACAGACCGCTTCCAGGGGGCCAGCCCGGAGGTGGTGCCACAGGAGACAGGGAGATGAGGCAGAGACGGTGGGTGGGCATCCCCGGTGGCACATGTGGCAGGCGATGGCCGGGAGGTGGGCGGGGCGGGGTGTGCCGTGGGCCAGCCGCATCACCCACTCCCCTCCTCTTCGCTCGGCACCCTGCAGCCCCCATCCCAGTCCGGGGGCATGGTTACTGGACCCTCGGCCCACACCTCCCCCGGCCACTTGCACCCACCGTGTCCCTGATGACACTCCTTCCCCCTGCTTGTCCTGGGCATGCCCCCCCCCCCCAGGGCTCTGCCCAGCAGCCG